CAGGCAATAATATCTAAATTAATATGCATATTTGTTTTTTTACTTTATAGTTTTTTTTAAAGAAATTCCTTTTAATGAAATGCATTCATTCATTTATTTGTATCTGTGTACTGGTTGCATTGGTCCTGCTTCATTATGTAAACAGAGGCGCTGTCATTAAGTGTTTTGTGAGCTGAGCTTCTGATTATTTGTGGATCAGCTGTGACAGCCCTCACTGTCAGAAGAACAACGGCCGGCTTCGCTTTACTGTGGAAGCTTGAACAACATCGGCTCATTTCCTTGTTTTCTGTTTGACGGTGTTGGTCTTCCATAAACACCAAGTTCCTCAAAAGATTAAACAACTAAAAACTTTAAAACGAAATACTCTGGATACTATAGTTGTTAACCTTTGTCACTGTTGTCTCATTGTAGGTGTTTGAAGAGAGACGAAGCCTTCTAGCAAAGTGGGTATGTGTAAGCAGATGAATGAAGAAGCACCTAATGCGCCCTCACAGTGATCCCAGCGTGAGCTGAAGCTCACAGTTAGAAACCATGCTGCGCTCACTGCTGAAGACGGCTTTTCTTTCATGTCTTTACCAGTTTGACAGGTGGTCTGACAGTCAGAGGAAGGCGGTGCTGCAGGACTTGGTGTTGAGCTGTTCAGTGGAGCAGCTCAGGTTCCTGAGCCTCAGTGTGAGCAGACAGCTCCCCCTGCAGGCCGCAGACTTCACCTGCCTGCTGCCCAGAGCCCTCTCCCTGTATCTCTTCTCCTTCCTGGACCCACGCAGCCTCTGTCGATGTGCTCAGGTACACGTGGATTCATTAATGGGGAGTGACGTGAAGTTTTGACCCTTGTTCTTGTGAAGAAGTCAATGAATGATTCGATCCTCCATGCACAGGTGAGCTGGCAGTGGAAGAGCATTGTGGAGCTGGACCAGCTGTGGATGCCCAAGTGTCTGAGGCTCGGCTGGCTCCTCAGCTCCTCCCCGACACCATTCGAACAGGGCGTCTGGAAGAGACACTACATCCAGACAGTCCAGGAGCTGCGTCTGAGCGTCCTGCAGGTCAGGAGATCCAGAAGAGATTTAAACAATTATCCTACCTTTGTTTAACAACTCGATAAGACAAAATAACATTATTAAAATCTAGCTTTCAAAAACAAAACAAAATAAAAGACCCTTTTTTTCCCAGGGTGCTTCATCGCAGCAGCAGTTTGTGGTTCCAGATGTCGCAGCAGAAAGCCGTGGTCACAAAGAGCCGTCAGAAATAGCAGCCGTCAGGTTGGAGGAGTGTCCAGCATCCACCAAGCAGCAACCTGGAAGCAGCTCCAGCACGAGACTGAGAAAGGAGAAGCAGCCAGGTGCACCCCCACCATGGAGAGACTCTGACAGACGTCCCAAAGACACACTGCGCTTCAACTACCTGGACAATCTGGACCCCATCGAACAGGCGCTGAGAGCGTAAGACGGCAGGGAACATTTGCTGAATCACGTCTGGCATTAATGAGGCTTTAAGGTTCTTTATAGTGACGGCCCCACGGTGGCTGTAGCTCAGGTGGGAGAGTGGGTCACCTACTAATTGGAAGGTTGGTGACTTGAGCCCCGTCTGGTCCAGTCTGCCAAATATCCTTGGGCACGACACTAACCCTAAGACGCTCTGTAGTGCATCTGTTGGAGTATGAATGTGTTTAAATTGCAGAGAGAAATAGCATAGTGGGAACAAGTGCTTTGAGTAGAAAAGTGCTCTATAAGAACAGGTGCGTTTGGCATTAAAAATATTATAAATCCCAAACAGTGTCCTGTTAGCATGCACGAGGTGTCTGTGGAGAGAAAAAGTTCCCATTCAACAGGAAGAGACCTACAGCAGAACCAAGCCATCTGCCAAAATGGATATAAATGATGGACATTAACAACACAAAGAGCTTTGACAGCTCCAGATGAATGCCTCGGTGTTTTTTAACCAGACAATATGTGAAAGAAACGTATCAGTCATAGAGTAGACATCCTCTAAAGCACAAACTGCTTTGTCCTTGTTTATGGTTCAAATGGGGACCAATATTTATTATATCAACATTATATCCACAAAGGAACTAGAAACGTTTGAGCTGGGTTACGTCATATTTGGGGGCTCGTCCGGGAAATTTTAGACTTGCTTGTGGAGAGAGGGTAGCATCAGAGGTTTTTCTTCACACCGTGCTTTCATCACGGTGTTTTTCAGGTCTGGGAGAACCCAAAGACCAGGATGTTGCAGGAGGGCATTTTAATTTATTTAGAGCTCTTGGAGGAACCCTTACTCACCTTAGAGTGGCAGTGCAGGAGTCAGCAGGTGTTGCCTGGACTTAATAGTTGATTAATTTGCACTTCAGTAATTTTTCATGATTCTCAGTTTTCGACTTTCATCGTATTGGCTGCCCCATCAGAAGGTTTGAACAGGTGGTGGTTGGGGCGATTTCTGCCTCACAACTGTCTGAGGGCTGAGCAGTTTCCTCACAGCGTTCACTTGTAGATAAACTGATGTCGTTATCATGCATAATCGTTCCCCTTTACCGACTCTGCTGTCTTTCTCCAGGCAGATGAGAAACAACAGCGCCTCCACCTGCTGCACTAACACATCAAAGGCGGATGATGGGAAAAAGAAAACACTCTCTGAAGCAAATTATAAACTACGCAAAGCCAAATCGCTGGTAAACCCCTCCCCATTCATCATCAGTGCCATATGGCTGTGACCTCCTTGTCTTAATCACAGGGAGATAATAAACGGAAACAAACCCCTGGAGACTGTGCATCCAGCAGGCATCATGCATTATGGAACAGCATTTGCACAGCGGGAGGCAAATTATGCTGATGATGGTGGGAAGGGTGGAGGAGAGGGTGAAATAGAGGACACTGCTGCATCTAATATTCAGGCCTTGGTGGAATTACTGTATATTTATTTAAGATCTGGGTTTGCACTATACAACATACCACACTTACTGTGTTACTATCACATCTCTTCTTTCAGATGTTCCTCAGCTCCAGCAGCAGACCCCCCAGTCTTCCTCATGATCAGACACAAACTCACCCCACATGGACATCGCGCAGTATCGCTCATCACCCCGTCATTGGGGAGTCTGCTGAGAGCCTTCTCCACTTATCCCAGTGGAACGCCGGGATCCGTCCGAAGCCGGCGAGGACGCCGGTGCCTCGGCTGAGTGTGGAAGCGCTCAGGGTGTTCCAGCGTTCACACAGGAGCGTTCCCAGTAAGTTTTCACAGTTCCTGCTGTTCCTCTGGGCTGAGTATGATGTAACCCCACATCAACAAGAAACCCCCTCAGGACAAACTGCAGGTTCAAAAGCTTCTGCAGGAAAGTGACTGCGTGCAGTTTCACTGAGAGGAGCTTAATCATTTACTCTGTACTGCAAAATATTAATATACTCTTTGTGCGCTTGTATAAAAAGTTAGGTAGGTCTCATACAGGGCATGTTTTGCTTTAGCCTAACAATTGTGGCACATCTGCAAACTGCTTTGCAACCCACCCCAGCCTGTCCCTAATGGACAATGTCATGTCTGAATAGTGACTGATATTTACATATGCAGCCGGCATCACACTTCTAACCTGGTCTTGGTGAAATATTACTTAACATGAGCGATCTGCTTCGTAGCAGAAGAAACACTGAGTGGGTAAAATTTAGCTTAAGAATGGAAAATGCTCAGAACTGATTCTTCAGTTTATGAAGGCGAACAAACTAATCTTGTTTTTTGATTTGTTTTTTTAAAAAGCAAATAATTAAGCAGATGTTTCTTAAACTCCAGGATCAAGGGAGGCGTGGATTTATAAAATCCTAAGAATCTATTGTGTATAGCTCTGATCTATGGTGTACTGGTGTGATATAATTTGATTGATTTAAGCCTGTCCACAGTGTACAATCAGCACTGAACTAAAACTGCAAAGAGTCTGAGAAGCAGAGGAGGAACAGTGTGTGTGAGAAGTGGTGGAGGTGTTACCAGTCCTAAAAACTGTATTCACTGACTGTAGGTGCGCCCCTGTTTGAGGCTCAGCCCTGGACTGCGTCTGCATCACATTCGCAAGAGAAGAAGTAGATCGCCCCCTCCTGGAGGAAAACAGAAGTACAGTCTGCAACCTCAAGACCTAGAGCTTCAATCTTTCTGCACATGCAGCGTGTGACCCTGACTAGATGTAGACAGATGGATCATTAGGAAAATATTTGACATTTAATTCTATAAGAAAAATGACAAAGAGACAATGTCACCCATTTGTAGACAGTAATTCAAACGTATTTCTGTATTAGTACTGTGTTAACAGACGGGATGGGCAAATTAACTTAGAACCCCCCCACCCAAAAAAACCCCCCCTCCAACCCTGTAAGAGTCTACAAAAAAATTGAGACTATACAAACTTGATTTATTACAACAATTAATAATTTCCTGATGATTTTATGACTCCAGCAGCTCTGATAATAATAGACACCAATATATATAAAGTCTACTTGTTGCCCAGATCAGCACATTACAAATGCACCATGCTAATGAGACGAGCTCACACGTCTGTCCAAATATTTACCCAAATTTAAAAACAACAAGACTTTAAAATCTGAAAAACTTAAAGCTGCATTTATATACAGAGGTTTTAATACTTCTAACATGAACACTTCAGTTTAAACTGCTGAGTTATAATCAGCTGTAACACAAGAACGCCAAAACAAACGATGTGTGTAAGAAATGTACCACCTTTATTATCCAGTCCACACGTCCCATTCAATATGCAACAACACAGCAAAAGCATTTCTAACACCAGTGAGTCTGAACAGAAATACTAAACAGTAAATGTCAGTTTGAGACAAAGTAACTGATTTTGATCAGTATTCAAAGCAACTTGTCAACACACAGCATGTTGGGCAAAGAGGGAAGCCTCGTGTGCATCAATTATGACAGACAATGTCTTTTTTTATTAATAATAATAAAAAAATCCACTTCAGTCAGATATGAAATATCTCTCATACGCACAGCCGGCTTCAAACGAGCTTTCATAGAAACATGGCGTCCAAAATGTGTGTATATATATATATATTACTAAATACAAGAGAAAGAAACTTATATGAAAGACGGTGTTAATTTACTGTTAACTGATCAGAGGATGAACGTTAGAGACCAGAGTGTATTTATGGCTTTTGGATTCAAAATAAAGTAAAACTGGATGTTTCACAGGTTACGTCCTAACACGTGGCGGCCTGCGGCAGATTTTAAGGCAAACGTGGCGCTTCGCAGTGAGCCACGGACACCACAGGGGTTAATCGTCACTCGGTGGATGACACAGTTATTACTGTAATTAGGTTGCGGTGTAAAAAGGCTCCAACAACAGAGCGTACAGCAGTTGAACAGTGAAAGTTGACTGCTGTGCACGAGGATTCATAGACGTGCTGTCCTGATGCACCGGTGATCAGATGACAGCACAAATGAACTAAAACTAAAATTAAAGCACAGATTGTCCAACCGACTGTGAGCAGGCTCGAAACCAAATCCCCCAAAATCAGAGAGAAGCGTTCTTCTAAAGCGACAGCAGAGCGTTTTAGAAGAACGAGCTACAGATCAGTGACAACAACCGATGTTTGATTTGAGTTTGTCTTCTCAGGCGTGAGTCTTGGAATTGCTCAGAAGACTGTGATGAATTTACACATGATCAAAAACAATCTGGACACATTTCCCCTCCCAGTCCAGGAGAAACGTTACTTTCCTCAAAGAGACTCAAAAACAAAAGTGGAAATCCTTCCAAGAAAAACAGAATTTATTCAGAATTAAAGACATTTTTGGCTTTTCTTTTAAAGAAAGTTCAACAGCAAAGCCTCGCAGATTAAAAGTCACTCAGAAGACAGAAAACACACAATTATTGTCACGCAAGTCAAACACGACTGAGTAAAACGCGGTGGGTTCAGTGACGTCTCATCAGTCGCCTCAGCTTTGACACGCTGGATCTCACTGGACGTGCAAAGTCAGGTTTCATGTTCACAGTGGGTTTAATTCAAAGGCTGCTGGAGTTTGAACACAGAGAAGAGAGAGAACACACCGAGGTGCTCTTAGTGAAACGTCGCCCGCTGCTTTAGTCTTCAGCCCTTCACGGTGACACAAACGATTAGAATGATTGTGCGTCTCATTGTGCGCGAGTCGACACGTGAAGATGAAATATCTTCAGTGTCTGTCTGGATTTGAGGAGAAACAGTTTGATGGCCACAGTTCCAAATAAAAAATTTAAAAAGTACATTTTAAAGGACGTTTTCTGCTGCCTGGGATCTTTATCTGTGAGTGCTCGCAAAGCTCAGTACATGTAAGGCTGAGAGGCAACCATCATCTGTGCTCTGACCGCTCGAGCTTCTTTCTGTTTGCACAGCGTGATCATGATCTGCAGGCTTCAGTAACTTGGAGGGAATCACTATGCAAATACACAAAAGTATTAACATCGACTCTTTAAATAATGTAAACATATACATCTTATCTGAGGTCAGTGATCCTCTTCATATCTATTTATATATATTTATATAAGAGAGAAGGAATATTACTGGAGCATCGTCCGGATGTTCTTCGGAGTGGTCTCGTCATTCAGGTGTTTTGTGGTGAACCTGAGGAGAAAAAAGGAGTCGGAGTTAGTGAACCAATGAAAACATCGAGGAGTTCTTGCTGACAAACACAAAAGCGAATTTCAAAAAAGGAAGTTGGACAGTTCTGTGAGAATCAGGTCAGGAAACCTCCCACGGTTCAGGAAACTCATTCACACAGCTGTGGTTTAGACCAGCGGGCCCCCGGGCCAGCACCGGTCTGTGATTCGTTAGGAATCCGGACGCCAGAGTTGAGGCTCAGGTGTGAAATTTGTTTTTTTAGTGTTTTTATTGTTAACTCGGTTTCCCTGGGTGTTATGAATAAATCTTTTTTTTGATACTGGTTTTATTTTGTTGTATTTATCCGCGACACCTCAAAGTCCGGTCTGTGAAAATATCACCGGACATAAACTGGTCGGGGACTCTGGGTTAGATGATGAGGGAGCTGGAGACGTGTGCAGCCACCTAAACCTGCTCGCTGGCTTCAAATACACCTGACTATCACCTGTACCAACCAACCCAGTGTGACATCACACACCTGCCAGCTCCCTTTTGCAAAGACCAGGCAGTGTCCAACCGGATATTTGCTTTCAGCAGAGGTGGTTTTTAAGGAAACTGTGTGGAAATGGTTACAGTTCGGCTTTACCTCGGCAGGCACACATACAACCTCTCATAACTTTCACAGCCAAAACTGATACATAGCATGAGTCAGAATCAAACCCACACAGGAACACTCGGCATCAAAGGCGAGCTGTGAACCTACTTGAGTGCATTCAGGAGACCTTCTACGTTGTCTGCTGGCTGGTCCTTCAGGACTTTTATGCAGCCTTTCATCTGAAGACAAATCAATGATGTCAGCAATGACTTACAATACTGTGTGTGTGTGTGTGTGTGTGTGTGTGTGTGTGTGT